GCAGATCAGAATTCTGCATGCAGTAGGTCCAGACTGCGTTCAAGAAGCTCTGTTGTTCTGGCCATAAGATCCAGTAGACCCTATGGTGTTAGTGATATCAGTGGTAGGGAAAAGTTGCAGTATGGATCTCAGGGAAAGCCCCAGTGGGAGACAGCTAGTGCAGGCCCTGGGGTTCTGATGGTGACTTTCCACGAAGAGAGTGCCTCTAGAGAAGTCCTATGTCAGACAGAAATGGCTTGGCTTCAGTATTCTATCTGTGCTCAGGCCCTGGATGGAAGCAACCTGGCAGAAGCAAGGCCTTGGTGAGAGCATCATGATGGACACTAAAATGCAGCAGCTGGAGACTACACTTCAACTGTACTCTTCACATTGGGGTCTCTAAAAGACAGATCTGTACAATGAAGCTCTGTGGCCTTTGTGTTGATCTGGGTCCCATCAGAAGATAGAAACCACACAGTAATTTAGTGGAAGTTTAATATAAAGAATTATTAAGCTGTGATATGAGAGTAATTATAAAGATGAAAAGAGAATTCTGAATGGTACCCTAGGGCTGAAGGACAGTACCCAAGAAAGGGAAAACTTGGGAGGGGGGTTGAAATGTCGTTGAAACAGGTGTGATTACAGCCCACTGGAGAGCAGAGAGGTCTGACTCCACTGTATGTCTGACTTCCTCTGTGTACCTTACTACCAACTCATTTCATCTACATCCCAGTGGTTTTTTCCTGCCTGCCTGGAGACTGAGGAAAGGACCTGGCCAAGGTTCTGATGAGTTGCTGTTTTGTTTCTTCTTGTTCCTTCTGCACCAATAGCAGAAGTGCTCTGCCCAACCAGTGCACTCCCAGAACATGCAGTCTGTCAGACAACTTGCAGCTCCAGCCCCAGCCAGTATCCACCCTCACATGATTACCATGGCCCTGGGGACCAGGCTTCTGATCCTGCTCCCCTGCCAGGCTTTGTACCACTCTGCTGGGAAGTGGGCATCCTGTGTCCCTACAAGCTCTATGTGCCCATCTGTCAGACTAGCCCTCCCTGTACTCCTGAAGGGTGTTTCCTGCTTGCTCAATGACTGTAGACCAGATCTGGCCTTGACACCCCCATCTTCTCCAATGGGGTCTGAATCCCTGCCTTGAAGAGCCACCCATTTTAATCTGTTCCTACTTTGGATATTATCTCACACTAAGCTATTCTTTAGATTTCTCTTTTCACCTTTATAATTGATCTACTGTTATAGTTAATAATTCTTCATATTAAACTTTCCTTATTCAAATGACTAAGTAGTTTCTCTCCTGATTGGGCCCTACCTGATACATTATGCCTTCTTTCTAGAATGTACTTTTTCCCCCATTTTCTCCTCTCTCACTGGCTAACTCCTATTCATTAAGTTTCAGCTTTGACATCACTTCTTTCTGTGCATCTCTCCCTGGCTTACCAGTCTCATCTCGACAGGATTCCACATGCCCTCTGTGCTTCCCCTTAATGTGCCACTAAATATAAAATTACCCCTCTCCCTCAACACAGAAATGCCATGTGTATTGTTTCTCACTAACTCTTACAATGCTTAGAATAAAGTAGGTTCTTAGTACATGTTTCTGTTTTAACTTTATGGTCTCCTTACTGTGGTTCTCCCAGACCATGGATCTCCAGTAGATACTGGGCAGATTGGTTTCAATACACTTGGGCCCTCATGATCTAATCATAATTTAATTACAATATAGTTTCATTTTTCCTTAATAGTTACAGTGGAATGCATGAGAAGACACATCCCACAGAATGAACGAACCAGTTGTGGAGAAGTGTTTGATGAGTTTCTTGGTAACTCTTCAAAGGAGAAAACATTTGTGACAGCCTTCAATTGGAATTGGAGAGCTTTAGCTAAGGGATTTGTTAAGGCATCCATATCTCAGTTGTTTAATAAAACAAATATTTCCCTAATACATTATTAATTCCACTAGCATAACTATTAAATGAGGGTACAGGAAAGCTCAACCAGGGCGTTATTTGAACCTTCGATAGGCATGGGAATTCTAAGTGACAACTTTTTAGAGGGTGTCTGCTGTGGATCCAAAATTAATTTTTACAGAAGTCCGGGAATAGGAAATCTTAGATTTCAAATGACTCTAAGGAATACTTTGGTGATCCAGATAGCATTTGACCAAGGAATGAGGCAGCTCAGAGTAGGCTTAGCATAGACTCCTTGAGTATCTCTGGTTCATACAAAAACAAAAAGGTCAATCAAATCTCTACAACTTACCCAGAGGCCTGGTATGTGGTTCCTATGTCTGAGCCAGTTAATGTTTTTGACTCTCACTGCAGGCTGCATCAGGAAATGTCAGAGTTTTCTGTTCAGCTGTCACTATAGCAAGTGAGCCTTTATTAGTTTCATAGGTCACCCTTTGGAATGCTGAGGAGACAGATACAGACAAGATAACTTTCTAACCGGGACAGTGTAGGAGGCAAATGCTTGGTGATCACAGTTGAAATGACCCCCACACACCAAAACCATTTCATCTAGCTAAGCTGGATAGGTCTGAGAAGTGTTGCTGTTTTTTTGTTTTGTTTGCTTTTACTCACTGCTCTCTCACCAATAAAGATGCCTGTGCTGGAACCAGCCACTTCCTCAGCAGGGACTGCAGTGCTCTCCAGAGCTCTGTAGGTGTATTCCAGCAGCAATTTCTGCTGAAGGTCGAGATGCTCAGCTTCTGAGTCAATAATTCCAAGCAATTTGTTGTCAAATCATTCAACCTAAAAAAGGACAAAATGGCATTAAATAACCTCTGAAGAATAAGTAATTAGATTAACATGTTATGCATTTGTCTTGCCATAAAATATGGCTGCCAAACTTTCAAATTTTGTTGGTGCATCTTATACAGTGGTGATTTCTGTTACATTTTATTTTGGTTAACTCTTGAAATTGTTAACAAACATCAGAGAAACCTATTAATTTAGGTTAGCTGATTTTGTATTAGCTGTTGTTGTGGCCTTGCTCTGCTCCTGTCTGCTTCACCAATAACAGTTATTGTCCAATTGGAACTAATTACTGAATCAAGTAATTAAAAGGAGTTTCTGTATACATTCACCTGTCTATACCAGTTTCTATGGCATATAGAGGAGGCAACATAGTTTGCCTGCCATACTGGGAACAAAGAAGCCCAAGGGAAATGATCATTTAGATAATAAATTTGGAAGACATTAAAGAATAGGGGACAAGAGTGGAGCACAAGAGTCTTCATAACAATGGAAATAAGACTACAGAAAATCAGTATGATGAATGGATATAGGAGTGAGGAATAGATTTGGGTGGAAAAAGCAAAGGAACAGAAAACATTAAGAGGAAACAAAAAAGTTGGATGACCCTATTAGTGATGGAATTACGAAAAAAATCTGACTAATAAGATTTGAGGAAAAAAAATAGCTATATTATATACTTATAAATCGTTAGCATTTATCTCATCCTTGAATAAAAACAGCCCATCTTGTTAGACTTTTACTTTTTTTTTTTTCATCTGCATCATACCATTCTTCAATATTAAATCTCTCTGGCGAAATCTCTACCATACAATTTGTGCCTCCAAACACCAAGGGTTTGGATCCCTGTACCAACCAGCTAACAACAACAACAAAAGGCTGGGCCATTGACCTCAGTTGGTTAGAGCGTACGTAGCCTTCTAACAATTTGTGCCTCCCATAAGTACTTGATAGAAATTGTCAACTTCTCCTATTACAAAATTACAGCTTAAAAAAGTTCTTCACTCTGGTTATAAAATGAATATACAGATAGCAGAACAATAGTGCTTTACAAATTATAATGGAAAAATATATCATCACAATAAAAAAATGAAAAACCCAGATATATACATATGAAGAAGTGTGCAGGATTTACATAAGGAAAAAAAATTCCCAAGAGCTAACGAAGGACATAAAATAAGACTTAAACAAATTGAGAGAGAACACTTACCTAGATAGACTGATTCAAGAGAGTTAAAATGAATTCTCTTAACCCAATTACAATCAAAATCTCACTAAGAATTATTTTTATCTTGGCTTCGTGATTAAAAATTCATCTCAAATTATGTAGAAGTAAACATTGCAAAGAGATTACTGAAAAGAAGAATAAGGAGGGGAACTTTGGAACTGTAATTGATATTAAAATATATTTTATAGAGAAAGAATTTAAAATAATGGAGTATTGAGGCAAGAAGCAGACCATTCAATGGAACCTAACGGAAACCCCCAAACAGAAAAAACATACCTAAGCATTTAAGGCAAGACAAAATGGCGTTTTAACCTAGTGAGTAAACATGTTTGGGACAAGTGAACACTATTAAAAAAAAGTTAACTGTTACATGTTCCAAAATAAATCGTGGATTGATGAAAGCTTTAATTGCAGAAAATAAAAGCAAAAAATAAAAGTAAAGGAAAGGTAAATGTAAGGCAGGGCCAACGGGGAGGGGTAGGAGGCATGCAGAAATGCGTTTCATCTCATCTGGAGAACGTGTACTAGTTTCTCCTCCTAAGATTGCGCTTCATGACACATATTGCCACAATCTCTGAAACCACGAAAGCAGGCTCTGTTGCTGCAACTACTAAATTCCCAGGGAGACCAGCTTGGACCCAGAGAGATGTGAAAGGGGAATAAACTGAGGTATAAGGAGATTTAGAGGGAGAGTTTTTAAGGGGCGTTTTCTCCAGACGAGGCCTTAGAATCCTGAAGTTCCACGCTACTCTAGCTCCAGTCCTGTGTAAAGGCTGCTTTCCCACAGGCCCGAGTCTTCCTTTGGCAATCTCCCAAAGACTCAGTCAAGTCGATCCGATGTTTGAAAGGAGCATATGAGGCTCACAAGCAATCGCTGAACTCAGATGCCTAGGCCTTGCCCATGCGCATTGACCACCCTTGCCCCCCTAATCTGTGCGCACGCGCAGCGACACCGCCGTCTGCGGTGCGCACGCGCACTTGGGTTTAGCGGCGATGCTTGGTTAGTCTAAGCCGAAAGATTGAAAACCGCGAGGCTTCCTGGTTGGGCTGCTGTGGCGAGAGCGGGTTGGCTTATCTATAGCGGTGGTATTGGGCTCCGGAGAATAGCGGGGAATAGCTGCGGCGGAGGTGAGGAGAGGTGTTTCTGAAGCAGGGAGCCTCTGTGATGAAGAAGATCTTTGGCTTGGGGAACAAGAAGGGCGAGTCGCCCTTGGGCTTCTCCACCAGTACGCGGAAGAACAGCGCCGCCGCCGGGCAGGAGAATGACAGACGCGTCAACTCACTGCCTGGCTACGACATCCGAGACAGAGATCTCGGAAAGATCCACAAAGCTGCCAGCGTGGGTGACGTGTCGAAGGTGCAGCAGATCCTTTTGCTGGGGAAAAGTGGCTTGAATGACAGAGACAAGAGGAAGAGGTAATAGTAATAGAGACTGGGAGCCAGGCAGTGAGGGGCCCGCGAGGAGGAGGCGGGGCGGATGTGGGAGAAGCCCTCACCTTCCCGGGCTCGGTCTGGTGGGGCTGAGCTCTCCTGTCACCCAGGATGCTGGGCTTTCTAGACTGGGAGCCAGGCAGTGAGGGGCCCGCGAGGAGGAGGCGGGGCGGATGTGGGAGAAGCCCTAACCTTCCCGGGCTCGGTCTGGTGGGGCTGAGCTCTCCTGTCACCCAGGATGCTGGGCTTTCTTCCCTCCGCAGGCTCCTCAGCACCTGGGACATGGCAACTTTGCAGGGATTGAGCCCCCAGGCTGTCTTTATGAGCAGCCAAGCAGAAACAGAACTTTAGCTTGTTTCCCACTCATTCAGAATTCCCCTTATAGAGCACTTTATTGACAATTATAAAGTGATTTAACTAACCAAATTAAGTATATACGGCGTTTTATTTTTAATGTACACATTTTAAAAACCATAATGTTATAAACGTTATAGGAAAGTGCATAATGAGAAAAATTCTCATATTAACTTTTGAGTTAAAAATTCTTTGAATAAAATCCAATATCCATTTTATATTAGTGTACACCTAAGTATATATATATTCTTTACTGAGGGATTTGAGAAGGAAACTTTGAAGTAAGAAGATGGCTCCGTTTTCTTGAATAGGAACATGAGCTTTTTTTACGTTTATCATTTTTACATAAACCAAATAAGAATATTAAGCTTTAAAAATTTTTGAGTTACACATGCTGAAAAGAGAGGTAGATGGATGGAACAGAATAGAAAATCCAGAAACACCCATATAAGCATTTACAACTTGTTTTTCATCCACAAAGTTTGTGAGAATTAAGCTTAAAGTTTACTTAAACTGTTGCTTAAAGTTTAAATTGCTTATTATTTTTTAAATAGACAATTTGGCACCCTGTACTGGCCAGCCACCCAAACAAAACAAAACAAAAAAGCAAATTGACAATCTGGTGGTACGTACTGTATTTACAAAATTTCTATATACCCTTTACCCATCAATTTCAATATACTAAAATATCTTTATGAAATAATTAAATATTCATGCAGTTTGCTTTTCTTAGCACTGCCTAAAATAGCAGTTGTTAAGAACCCATGTGATGGATTTTATAAATAAATTGCAGTGCATCCATAGGACCATTAAAGGTGGCATTCGTACAGATGTACGTTGACATGTGAAGATGTACTTTGGTATATTAAGTGAGAAAAAAAATGTTTGATTATACATACCTACCAACAGATTATGGTTTTACGTTAGCTAAAAATATGTAAAACATGATAAAATTCATTATTTCCAGGCATTTGTATTGTAAGTAAAATTTTCTTTTCCTTTTTCATATCTCTGATTTCTATAAGGAACATGTCTAAAAGTTATAGTAAAAAAAATTGTCTTTATCTTTATTACAAATTTAAAAGTCTGGAGAAGCTCCTATTTCCCCCACCCAAACAGTTCATAAACATGTACAGCAGAGCAAATTCATTTAAAAAAGACATTATAAGGTGAAAGATAGTATCCATATGCAGTAGTCCAACTTCTAAGAAGTGCATTCCTCAGGTAGTCAGGGTACCGAGGTTAGTAAGGTTGCCTTAACCACCAGAACTTACAGCTCAATTTCTTCACTTAAGACCAAGGTATAACAATTTTATAGTCCAACAAGGGACAAACTACTCTGTTCCCAAATGACACTTTTGGATGAGGCCCCAAATTTTCTACTTGAGGTGATGTTGAGTTTTTCCACTGGCCCTTGGGTTGTTTCCCCAGATGCATTACTATGACTTTCTATTTCTTTTTGCACACTGGTAAATGAAAACTTTGTTTGAACAGAGCATGCCACTGGGTTATAACCTCTGATATTTAAAAACACTGGTTCATGTGTAATTGAGTTTTCAATGAGAATGCTCCAAAGGTGCTCATATTTTCTGAAGCCAGACAAAGTAAGAGTATAAATGAATTCACAGAAATTAGGTAGCACTCTATTTATACGACAGCCAGTTCCTAGATAAAGCTCATAATGCTGGGGGAGCAGATTATCCACATAAGGTGCTTGTCTCATTTTGACTCAGAGCCAGAATTCAGTACAGGTTACAGACAAATCATCAAGATTGTGAATCATCACAAAAAGCACGAGGAGCCCTCTTAACACCTGCTAGAGATCTTCATTGCTTGAGATCTCAAATCGAGGTATCACAGGAAACAGGAAAGTTTTAAAAATCTAGTAAAAAAATATTATTAATGAAAAAGTCCTTGGGAAGAGTTGGAATATAACTCTAGCACAGATAAAAATAATTTCTTAGTTCCCATCATTATTATTATTGTTGTTGTTGGGGTTGGAAATCAAAATAAGAATTACTTTGTTTAAAAAAATTTTTTTTTGTTGTTATTTCAGCCCTCTTTCCCTGTAGTACTTTTAAGAACTAAAATTTATTTATTGTTGTTGGGGTTGGAAATCAAAATAAGAATTACTTTGTTTAAAAAAATTTTTTTTGTTGTTATTTCAGCCCTCTTTCCCTGTAGTACTTTTAAGAACTAAAATTTATTTAAATGCTAGCCATGTTCCTAGAACTGCCATAGACCTGCTGTATAAACAATATTTCATGTAATGTGAGGCACCATGGATTTTGTGATACCCCATTATTTTATATATTAATGAGAATTTTAGAAATGCTGCAAATTATAGTTCTAGTACATCATGAATTATAAGTGGCATTCAAACATCAGAGATGTTAAAATGTGAGAAAATGAGCACCTTAGAATTATTGAAATATGGTGTTATCTCTAAACGTCAAAACGTAACCGCGAAGTAGGTATAAGTGTACTATTTTACTTCATTAAAATCTTGTCTTTGTTAAGTAGTAATAATTATAATATCTAACAGTTATTGAGATGTTATTTGTGCTAGGAACCATTCTAAATACTTGGCCTAGATTCTCATTGAAACATCACTGTGAGTTAACTATGATTTCTATCTCCATTTTCTTGATGAACGAATTGAGGCCCAGAAAAGCTAAGTGATAGCTAGTAAGTGACAGAGTTTAAAGTAGGATTCAAGTCCAGGTTGAGCTGAGTGCAATGGCCGTGATCATTCTATTCAAATAGGCTGCCCTTTCATTAATGTAGGGAGTAATAAGGACTAATAAATATTGTACTTTCTTCAAAAGGAAATTAAATATTTGTTTTGAAGGCAGAGGAATAATATGCTATTTAATGTTTATAATTACATGAATAATTGTATGTTTTGAGATAGTACACTATAATTTCTTAAAAATTTCTCTCACTTTCATAGGACTGCTCTACATTTGGCCTGTGCTAATGGTCATCATGAAGTGGTAACTCTCTTAGCAGAGAGAAAATGTGATCTTAACCTCTATGACAGTGAAAACAGGACAGCTCTGATGAAGGTATGTAGTAGCCAACTATTTCAACATGAGATGAATTTGATTTAAATACTTAAAATATTAGAATAAAACTGAATTTATCTCATTTAAATATAATTAATTGGTAAAACCTGTGGAATGTTTATTTTGAATTCCTAGATTTTACAATCTATTTCTTGGTATAATACTGACAGGCTGTACAATGCCAGAAAGAGGAATGTGCAGCTATTCTGCTAGAACATGGTGCGGATCCAAACCTTGCAGACTTCCATGGCAACACTGCTCTCCACTATGCTGTCTGTGACCAGAGAATATCAATTGCAGCAAAACTGCTTTTACACAAGGCAAATACTGAAGCAAGAAACAAGGTACTGATCGGCCAAATTTATTTTCAAAAAATTTGAAATGCATTTGTTTTAACATTAACAAGTGTGGGGTCAGTTTTTCATCTTTGGAAACTCAAGCTATTGTCTACGAATTCACTTTAAATATTTATACCTTTAAAGAAGCGTAAGAGGGTACAGCTTTCTTTTATGCATTTATGGCACATATTTATGAAAACACTGAATTTGTTAAAGGTAAAACTTTATTTTTCCAAATATTTTTTTCACCCCAGTTCTTTTTCTAATTAGTGTAAAACACCACAGGAAAGCAAAATTTGCTTGGGAATAGGCTTTATCCCTAAACTCAAACAAAAAACCCACAGTTTGCAATAAATAGAAATTTTTTTGGGGTTGACAAGTTCCTATTTTATAAAAAAGTGGATCAAGGATTCTGATCCCTGTATAGGCCAGCCACACACACACACACACACACACACACACACAC